CATCATCATCATCATCATCATCATCATCATCATCATCATCATCATCATCATCATCATCATCATCATCATCATCATCATCATCATCATCATCATCATCATCATCATCATCATCATCATCATCATCATCATCATCATCATCATCATCATCATCATCATCATCATCATCATCATCATCATCATCATCATCATCATCATCATCATCATCATCATCATCATCATCATCATCATCATCATCATCATCATCATCATCATCATCATCATAATCATCATCATAATCATCATCATCATCATCATAATCATCATAATCATCATCATCATCATCATCATTATCAGATTCTTCGCTCTGCAGAATCCCTTTCTCCCATTTCAGACTTTCAAAAGAAGGGAAAAAAATCCTCACAGTATAGCTATGCGCGTACGTGCCTGTGTATTCGTGTTAAGGTTCATGTTCGTATTAAAAGTACATATAATTAGTGTAAATGAAAACGAATGATTGCTTGAGAGGTGTTTAAGACTTAAAATTTTCGGTTACAAAAAAAAGAACGATGTGGAAATTTTACGATAGACGGGCATAAATGAATGTATATATATTAAAGCGAACAAAAATAACGTTCAAAATTATCAGTGAATAAAGTGATGAGAGGACAATAGTAATACACACACCTGTAAATCCTATGGTCTCTTTCATTTACTTCAGACAGTATTTACGTAGTGGCATAGGAGCGAAGGCTTGATTCTTCATTTTTCGCGAGGGCATAGTATGGGAAAAACATGATCACAATAGAACTGCATAAATATATGACTAAAACAAAATAAAAAACTCAAACGTATGTCACAAGTTGATTAACGTATAGATGGAGATCACCACCAAAATTATCACAACAAAATCAGCTACTCAGTCATTATCATTATTCCCATCATTGTCAGCGTTATTTTTATTATCATTATCATTCTATTGTCATTACCATTTCTATTATCATCATCATCATCATCATCATTATCATTATTATTATCATTATTATTATCATTACTATTATCATTATTATTGTTATTACTATTATTTATTATTATTATTATTATTATTATTGTTATTATTATCATTATTATCATTATTATTATTATTATTATCATCATCATTATCATTATTATTATCATTACTATTATCATTACTATTATTATTATTATTGTTATTATTTATTATTATTATTATTATTGCTATCATTATTATTATTATTACTGTTATTATCATTATCACTAATGCTAATGATGATGATGATGATAGTTGTTTATTAGAATCCTCTTTATTATTGCCATAAATACCATTATGATAATAATGATAATGATAATGATAATAATAATGATTATAAGAAAATATTATTAATATAATTATTATAATCGTTGCTCGCTATTGTTATTATTATTACCATTATCACTCTTATTATTTACGTTCAATATTATCGTTATCATTAACATCACTATGATTATTATTATCATTATTGCAACTACAATTACATTATCGTTACTATGATTATGAATATGATTAGTATTAACATTATTAATATTATTATTATCATCATCTTTATTATTATTCTGTTATCAGTATTATTATATTAATACTGTTATCATCATTGCTACTACTACCACTACTACTTTTAATACTGTCATTATTATCCTTTTTTACCACTCTTAGTTTCAGTATCATTATCATTTGATCATGTTATTATTACTAATAGTATCATTTTTATCATCATTAACATTACCACTAGCATCATCATCGGCTAATTCATATTACTTCAACATTATACTTATCAATACTTTAATTGATATTACTTTATCAAAACGATTTTTTTGTCATTATTTCAGTTCAATTTCATCCATTACGATGGTTCCTAACTGCATTATTATCATAATTAGCATTGTATTAATACTTGGTACTGTTCTTTACTCACTTTTACACGTCTTATAAATCTACCCTTATTTTTTTTATTTTTTTTTCAAGCCCAGATAATGATGATGATAATGGTATCCGTTATAATGTGCTAATCAACTAAAACCGTGGTTCTTGGCCTTTTAGTGCCTCGCCCTCTCTTAGACTTTATTCTTCATTCCGCACATTTTTCATATATTTACATAAAACCACCCAATAGGTTTCGAGGAACGGGTTCAGCAAATATACGAAATCATAAGATTGAGTGTAACAAAAGTTACTTTTGCCGTTTTTTTCATAAGCTATATATATATATATATATATATATATATATATATATATATATATATATATACATATATATATATATATATATACATATATATATATGCATATATATTTCTGCGTATGTGTGTGTGTTTGTGTGGGTAGCTTGTCTGCACGCTATTTTGTGATACATTGACCATGCAGCTTATTCCCAATGTGTGAAGAAAACGCTTATGACTTATTAGGGTAAGTTTTTGATGTTCGTTAGATGACGGGCACATTTACCAACCGGGATCTGGACGGTGT